CTGTGCCGGTCATAAGTCAGCCCATTACAGATATTAGGCCCAAACAGAACTACAACATCTGCCTCACTTTGGGCGATGGTTATTGCCACCGGCCTTTTGTTAAAATCATCCCAAAAGCGTAATAATTCTGTTTTTTTTGTTTAATTGAATTTATTGGCTTATAGTTTATAATTCATTATGATATTTTACAATATTAATTTATAAATTAATTTTAATTTATTAAATAATAAATATTAGTTATTTTATTAATTAATAATTATGATTATCAATTATTTTTAATAATAAGACAATATTCTTCTTGAGCGGCCTTAATAAGAGTTTGGGTGGCCAAACCGCTCCCCTTGCCTTGCCTTCCAAAGGACTAATAAACCGAACCAAAACTCTTTATATAAAACTAAAGAGTTTCATGTATTTTAATTTGAACTGTAATTTAAAAATGTAGTTTTGATATTAAAATTATTAAATTACTATCATTGAAGAAATGCAATAGAGAGTTTTATTGATAATATTTTAATAATTTTAATATCAAATTATACTTTCAATGTGCCGTTCAACTTGAAAAAAACTTTTTTAAAAACTAAAAATCTTATTTTTTTTGGTTTAAATAATACTAAATTGTAAAATAAAAATCATTAAATAAAAAAAGTCTCCAATATCAAAGAACTAATCCCACCTAATAATTAATATTGTATAATTTAAATTACACAATATTTTTTCTAATATAAAAAAATAAAATTTTACTTTATTTTTGTTAGCACAGGGAAAAGAAGCCTTGAGGTTTCTATTACAAATAATAATAATAATAATAATAAATCAAGACGTCTTAATATTTTTTATGTCAAGACATTCTAATTTTTCCTATATATTATTATTATTTTTTTTTTAGAAAAAAGTGACTGTTACTAACAAAATTTGTATTACAGTAGGGGATTAATTAGAGCTGTAATTCAAAATTAACTTATCTCTGTTGACCATCTGTTCATTTTTTTTTTTACAATTCTTATTTAGTGGCAGCGTTTGTTATTGGTACTGCTTTGTATACTTGTTATTGGGGATAAGAATATACATTTTACCTAAAAAAAATTGCAGTCCTCTATGTTGAAATTTCATCATTTTAATAAAATAATTTAGTTTTCTTTCAAGAACATGTTTGATTTAAGGGAGATATAAAAGATGAGAAAGAATGATTTTTTTTTTTTTTTGGGTCCAATCAAACTTTGAGGGAAAGGAAGTTTTGATACTTCAACTATAATTTCGTTCCCAAATTAAAGAATCTACGCAAAAAAAAAAAAAAAAAAAAATCGAGATCCGGTGATGAAACAGATTGCAAGTTTGCAATAAAGCAATAAACCCTCTGATTTTAAGGAACCCTGATTGTCTTCAAAGCATCAATACGAGCCCTCAAATCCAGGATTGATTTTACTACAAAACAAGCTAATAATTGATTTAAATTTATGGAAAAGCATGTGATTAGCTAGATTTTGCAAGAAAATTGTTCTCTCAGAAAAAGACAGAATGCAGTTTCAGAGAATAAATTCAGAATCACGATCACAACTAATGGTTTTTGGTAATGTTGTTGAGACATGATGCCCCTTTTTTCAGTTTCCATGCTCCCTGTTTCGTGCCTTTGGATAGCGTGGGCAGGAGCAGTGCCTTGTTTGTATCGTTGTGTTATTATGTTTCTTTTTGTCAAAGCTTGACTTGGTCTTATCAAAATGATCAATGACAACGAGATATATTGACGAAAATGTAGGAAAAGAAAAGGAAATGAGAAAGTTAGAAAGTCACTCTCAACCAAACCATAAACAATTTCGGAGAAGCAGAGGCAACAATTTAGTGGTCTTTTTCGCAATTCAATGCAGGGCGCTAACAGTCGGTATTGAACAGTCAATTTAGAAAGTCGTAGAGTGTAAAAACAAAGACAAAAAATAACTTTAGGCCCCACTTTTTTTTTTTTTCATCAAAATATTTATTTTATTCTAATTTATAATATTATATATTTATATATATATAAATTATAAAAAAATTGTATAAAAAATTTCTATATTATTGTTATCTGGGGGATAGAATTTCAATTTTCAAAATGAGACCCTTAACTCTTAATTTAAGACCCTAAATTTGTTTATTTATTTATTATCCAGATTTCTATAGGAAGGGACAGAGTTTTTCCACGGGTTTCGTGGGGTGTTCGTCAGCCAATGAATTAAGGAATACTAGTCCAACCCCGCAGCACGATGTAAAATTCCCAAACGATGACTTTGAAACGCGGCATCAATTGGACCAAAAGCTCCAAAATTTTCTCCTTTTTCTTCCTTCCTCGCACGTGCGTCACAATCTTCTCACTAGCACCAATTCCAATCTCTTCCCCTGTTTTCATTTTTCTAATTTATATATTAAATCTTTTCTCATTTGATTCGTTTTTAATTTTGGTTCCATCAATTCTTTGCTCAATTCCCAGCGCCGAGCATGGAACCGGAGGTAGTGGAGAGGACTAAGAGTTTTTCCTTCAGCTGCCACGATTTCAAAACCTCGGTTGCGGTCTTTAGCGACGGTGAAGAAAGCTGTAGCGATGAATCTTACATTGAAATAGCAATTGGACCTACCTCAACCGACGGTTTTGATGAAAGAAAGAAGGATCCTGCAGACGATGGTGTCCAAAGAGAGCATAAGAAGGAATTGGACCTGCGGATATCGTTTTCATCGTCCTTTCCCTTACCGGAATTGTCTAAAACTGATGTGCTTGGGAGAATTGGCTGCGGTTCTGATACTGGTACATCTTTATCCTCCTCTACCACTTCATCTTCAAAATCCACGTTCGGGCCTTCTTCATCAGCAGAGGCTAAGTATTGGACGGCACCACTTGGAAGAAGCCCTTCTAATAAGTTTAACAAGACCCTGAAACGGAAGCTGCAGTTTCCAGCAGTCAACCGTTTTCTCGACAATTTGATGTCCAATTCCAGGGGGCAATCGGAGGTCCGAGAGAAATCCGGTGGCCGTTACAGCCCGGCAGTGGCGACGGAGACAAATCAGTTGGACCATGTACAGGGCAGGTATGACCTGAAAAACTATATGTCCTGGATTGCTTAAACTAAATGATACGAATTAATTAAAATTCAATATTTTTGTTGTCTTCGTTGGGAAATAAAGTGAAAGCCGTTAATCTAACATTTTCCTCGATTAATTTCAAAGCAGAAATTTTCTTGATTAATATTTTCTTTCTGTTCCATTACAGGAAAACGTCAAACATAAAAAACAGATCAAGCAGAGGAGTGATAATGAAATTTTTTATGAAGTTCAAGTCAAAAAATTTCCAAGCACTTTTAGCATCAATGGTGAAACCCCAACAATTTGGTGACTATGGGGTCAAGAAGACTAGATCGGAGGAAATTCTTGAGAGAAATTGGGGCCAGGTGACACCGTGGAATAGAAGTTTAGTGCAAATGGAGAAGGGAAAGAACAGAGGATTTGAGATAAAAATGGATGCAATCCAACGAGTTATGGAATCTATGAGCACAAGTTTTGGAAGAAATGATAGGAAAACAAGAAGCTGTCCGGGTTCTGCAAAGTCGTCGCCGATTCACCACGGATATACGACAGAGAGTAAAGTGATGTGTAGAGATAGTTCAATTCAGGCTGCCATTGCTCACTGTAAAAGATCATTGGGTCAGACTTCTGATCTTTGACTTTAAACTACACTTTGTAGGTGTAATGTGGATGCTTTTCTAGTCCTATTAAATGGGAAAAACAAGAAGGTTTGGCCACTTGTTACCATTTTCAATTTTGAGAAATATCATCTACTATATGGATTAAGAAAAATTAACAAAAATAATAACATCTCCACAACAAATAATACCATGGTCCATAACAAACTTACTCAAAACGGATATGAACTTCAACAATCGGTCAAAGACTGACCGAGGTGGCGCTAGCCAAACACTAGTGGTTCAGCATGTTATTTATGTATACCGTTTGAAGGAAACAGTAAACATTATCTTAGTAAACAACTTATTTCACGCTTACATTGTTCCCACTTCTTCATAATATTATATCCTCTTCACGAGGAGCTTCACCCCATCTTCAGGTTCAATGTTCAACCTAAACACTGGGGCATGCTGATATTTGGGTGAGATGGAAAATGAGAATTTGGATAGCAAGAGAGACGTGACTATCTTCAGCTCAGTCATGGCAAGGTGTTGTCCTGCACAAACATAAGACCCAGCGCCGAAAGGCATGTAGAGTTGTGGAACCTTACAAGCCCCTGCTACTCCTTTTGCAAACCTCTCTGGACAGAATTCATCAGCATCAGGGCCCCAGAGGAAACGGTCCCGATGTAATGTGAGTATAGGAAACCAAATATTGGTTCCTTTAGGAACTTGAATACTCCCAAGTTTAATATCCTCCAAGGCCTCCCTTGACAAGAATGCGAATGCTGGATACAATCTCATTGCTTCCTTAATTACCATGCCCAACTGCCATAACCAATAAAGAAAATAACTTCTTAAAACTTGTTCAAAAATCAAAATAAAACTTAATTAGGTAACAAAAAAAAAAAATCTAAATTGCATTAGATTGTGAAACACCAACTACTAATTTCATTAAGAGAGTTTCATCTAATGACTGGTATTCTGCAGTTTAGTGTAAAATGATTAGGTAATTGAAGGTTCACCAATTTCATTTTACGAAGCATGTCAGGAGTAGGAAGGTGTCCTCCAGAGACTTCCAAGACCTCATCGCGGACACGAGCTTGCCAATCAGGATGGGCAGCTAGGAGAAGCAAGGTCCAACTAGCAGATATTGGGGTGACTCCTTGACCAGAAAGGTAGATGTTCTTGCAATTGTCAATGATAAAATTGGTGGCGGACTTAGAACTAAGGTGGCTGTTGTTAGCTCCGTCAATGAGAATCTGCAAAAGATCCCTCTGGTATGCACCCCGTTTCCGTTCTTCTACCACCTTCAGGATCAACGCCCGGATCTCCTTCTCTAGCTTCCATATCTCCATGTTGCTCTTGGTCGGAAGAAATCTATATACAGTTATCCACAAGAAACATTTACCGATCGGAAAATTGATGAGATATAATAGAAGAAATCCAATGGATTGATTTTTTAGTTATTATTGGAAAAAATTTAATACTTCAAGACAGGGAGGCCGACTAGGAGGCTTTTCTTAGGCATGGCTTGATGCAGAGATCTAATTCTGACAAATATTTCTTTGGAGTCGGAATAAGTGCTCCCGAAGCAAGCTTTGGAGATAACATCAGCAAAGAAACGCCTGAGATCCTCGTCAATTCTTATGTCCATCAACTCGCTGCCTTCACTCATCAGCTTATTCTCCCAAGAATTCGCTAATGAAGTAGCAGATTCTACTATTAGACTAAACTTCTCCTGCGACTTCCATCCACAACATTGTTATGACAAAATATATATATTTTTTTACACATCCATACTTTAAATACACATCTATGAGATATTGTGTTTGAGAGGTACAACATGAAAGTGATGAGATGGCAAATTACTTCATTTTGCAACTCGTAGAAATGATAAATAAATAACAAACACATGATTATCATTGTATTACTACATTATTTACCTTAATTTTATCCGAGTGAAGTTCAGGAGCAATAATTTTCCTCTGGTAGGCCCAAGAACGTCCGCTCGATGCTACGAGTCCCTGTCCAAACAATGGCCCAAAGAACTTATACAGAAAAGTGGACTTCCCCAAGTCCAAAGAAGTACATAGGTTAATCTCTTTCACCAGATCATACTCCCCCAAGTACAGTACCGGTAAGGTCCCAATCCAAAACATGTAATTCGATCCTGAAAAAAAAAAAAAAAAAGGGTGTGGGGAAGGAAAGAAAGAAAAAGAACATGAAAGGAAAAGGTTCATCACAGACGGCAAGAGTAAAAAAGATTCATAAAAATGTAAGAAAATTAGCAGGTTCGATTTCTTTTTTCTTTGATGAACAGGTTCGAAAATTAAGATTGACATATGTATACAAACCGTATTGTTTAGCCCAGTTGTTCAAGAAAGGGAAAAGAGAGGAAGCCCAATCGTGGGTAACTTGGCCGTCTTTCACCATAGATTTCCTGCTGAAGGTGGTCGACAGAGATCTCTTAATCTCTACAAGGTTTCCCAACAACAATGATGGCGTAGGACCGCCGACGCCTTGGCTGCTCAGCCGTGATCGGATCCGGCGAGGCTTCAGCCATAGCAGCTTGAAGAGATACTTGAGGATGCTGTATAATGCGAGAAGTAATGCTAAAGTAAGAAACATTATTTTCAATTTAATTGCTTTCACTTTCCCAGGGGGTACTATACATACATATATTTTTTGTTTTAATTTCTTGGCTGAACTTCTGTTCCTTTTATAGGATTGATGACTGGCATGAAATTGAATACAAGAATGGCTTTATGGTTGGATCCGCCGGCATGAGGTTTGGTGCATTTATCATTACTTAATCTCCGTCCGTCGCCTTTTTAGTTGAGCTAGATTCGCCAAGCATGTTTAAGTCATGCTTTTTTATGAATATATGTAAATAGTAATTGAATGTTTTTGATAATGAAAAAAATGTGAAAATCAAGATGTTTTATCACTTTAAATGTTATGGCATTTTATAAAATTACTTAAATGTTTTTAATGAGTCTTTTTTACGTATTGATTTATTAAGGATATTTTAAAATTTTTATTATCATTTATGACATTTAAGTGTTAAAACGTCTTAATTTTTTTAAATTCTTTTGATAAAATAAAAATTACTTGATGTAAGATCTATAAGAAAAAATTTTAAATTAGTATTCATATAGTATACAAAAATATTGTTTTAATTATAAATATGTACAACTAAATTAGGACAACTAAAAAAGGGGAGTATAAACAATTTATATCAAGACTAGGGACCATTCTATTACATCTCATTAGTTTCTATAAATCTATGTTTCCATGAAAGTTTTATATTTTATAATGTAAACTGTAATACATATTCTTTTTATAAATAGAAATTGGAGTACTTGTTGATTTAATTTACAATGAATACTTTGATGTATGTGGAAAATAAAGTCCAAACAACCATCAAAGAAATTACCTAGAATAATTACTATAGGAGAGCAAAAACAACTTTGAGAGTACTACTCTACTGTGTGTTTGAAAAATCCAAGAAGTTTTATATTCGAAAACTCGAACTTTTGGGGTAGAAAAACTAAGGATCCCATCCCCTACCATGCCATTGGTTGCCAGAACAAGTAATACAATCCCAATCAAGTCCAACCATCCATACCCATGCAATCTTTCTTCTTTACCAAGGGTAAAATTCGATGAAAATTATTAAGAGAGAGCCCATGTAAAAACCCTTAAAAAAGAGAGCATATCCTCAATAAATGAGAAACCTTGAAAAGAGAATAAGACGGCCCCATCTTTATCAATCACCCTAACCATCAAAGAGTAAATTATCAAAGTTAATTACTTAACAAAAGTTATGCCATGTAAATAAAAAGTTAATGGAAGGATCAAAATAGAGCCAAAATCTCAAACTCTAAAGACTAAAACAAGAATCTTTTAGCTTCTTTTCAATGTGCTTTTATTAAAATAAGTTAACAACATAATTTTGGGTACTTTATACCTAATTTTTTGCAATTTTTTTGGATGAGTAACATTTTTTTGTTGTTTATAATTATTTCCCCCCTTTAAAGTTTAAAAGTTTAATTATTAAAAAGAAATGTCGTTATTTTGCAGTTTATTTTTTGTCAAACGCTAGTGTCACCTGTAATTTTGACAAAATTAATGGCTCCCCCAGATGTAAACTGCCTTATGAAGCCGGAGCTGAACTGCTCTGACTCGCATTACTTCACTTGTAAGTTGGAACAACAAGGAGAACGTGCGCAGAGTAGATATTCAACAAAATAAATTAGGTAGAATTCTGACAGGTTACCTATATAAGGGGTTAGTACATTATAGTTTCGTTCACTTAAAATTTTTTTAAGAATTTATCTAAAAGTTTATTTTTAAATTAATATTTTTAAAAAGTAATTGTTAGATTAAAAGTTATACATATGTGTAGATTATGCATATATATTTATTTTTATATTGATTTAACATATATATTTTTTTAATTAATGAAACTTTATTTTTTGATATATTTAACAATATTAAATTTTATATAATTAATGAAATGATTAGATTTATTGGATTAAGATAAAAATTTATATACATAATCTATATAAATAAAATTTTTAATTTAATAATTAATTTTTAAAAATATAAGTAAAAAATAAATTTGTAAACATTTCTTCAAAAAAAAATATTGAAAAAACGTCCAGTAAAATACTTTTTTCAACCACTTAAATTTATGGTCAACCCTCAAGTACCATTATTTTCTAAAAAAATTTCTAGGCCATTCGGGTGGAGGAAGAAGGAATTCCAACTTTAAAAACATGTTTAACTTGAGCAAAGTGGATGGAAAAGCAGGGTATGTTATTTTAACCAATTGTATTAACGTTTTAATTGGACGATTGCCTGTCCTTCACTTTCCTCAAACCTAAGAGCTGTCTAGAAAGCAACGAACTTATTGATCCGAATAAAAATAGTTCGATTTCCTTAAATAAAGTCTCGAGTTTAGGTCTTTTTGATAAAAAAATAAGCGCTGAGAGAGCTTCCCTCCTAATGGAGTCTAACGTGGGTCGATTATGAATTAATTGGGACTCAATATGATTAATAAATACCAAGAAATTAATTAAAAAAAAAAAATGAAGAAGGGAGCCGGCTAAAAGTGACCTAATGGAGGGCAGTACTAGTTGTGCCTGAGCAGTGTGGACTCTCAATTTATGTGGATCTGAAACAATGTTAGTTGTAAAGATTACAAAATTGTGTTCTTTGGGTTGGGTTGTTCTTGCAGCCCACATTTCTAGGCCTGACCCAGTTCTGACTAAGTTAAAAAAATATCTGTCATTTTAGGAAATTAAAAAAAAAAAAGATAAAAAAAATTACGTTCAAGTATTGTTTGTTAATAAAAAATTTAATATGTCTCGTACGAGACATCCCAGTAGTTAATATTTGAAAATCAAATTTTAGGATGCTTGGGAAGAAGTCTAGAAAAGGAAGAAATATTTTTTATTGTATAATTTATTATTTAATATGTAAAAAATTTTACTATAATAATTGAGTTGTCTCTTGTTTAAATTGGTAATATTATAATTATAATACCACGTAAAATTATAAATTTATAGTATAATATAATATTAAATAAATATGATATGATATTAAATAAATATATATAATATTATAAATAGACTTTTAAATAAAACAAGACAATTGTCTAATAACATATCATGTTATACACATGCAATATCACATGTCATATAGTATTGTAATTATAGTATTTTCCTATTCAAATATATGATAGTTGCATAAAATAGAAGTCTACATTTTGGCTTGCTATACAAATAGTTGTGTTTTTGGGATCTAAGTAGGCAGTAATTAAAGTATTTGACTAATGATATGTGTGGTTTGAGAAAGGGAAGAGAGGGTTTTTTAATTAATCAAATTATAATATTTTAAAATATTATAATTTGATTGGTCAAAAAAATCTCTCCCTCGTTTCCTCTCTCCCCCTTCTATTTTCCTTATACCAAATATACTGTAAGACACAAATGTGACATATTTGATAATTATATTAAAATGTACAAGATATTAATCAAAATTAACAATTTTATGCTAAAATCAAAATATTGCAGAAAACAATTTTAAACATTGTTATAAATTTGAATTGCACAATGAAAATCAATGGGCTTTCATTCCTTTGATATCCTCCATGTAGCAGATTCTACTATTAAAATAAACCCTTCCATCCACAACATTGTTATGACAATATACATATTTTTTCCACGTCTATACATTAAATACACATACATGAATTCTTGTTTGAGAGGTACAACATGATACTAATGAGATGGAAAATTGCTTCATTTTGTAACCCATAGAAATGATGAATATACCTTAATTTTATCCAAGTTCAGTTCAGCAGAAATAATTTTCCACTGGTAGGCCCAAGAAAGTCCGTTCAATGTTAGGAGTCCCTGTCCAAACAAAGGCTCAAAGAACTTATGCAGAAAAGTGGACTTCCCCTAGTCCAAAGAAGTACATGAGCTATACTCTTTCACCAGATCAGCCCATTTTCTTGCAGTGTCTGTTTTCTTTTCTAGTAGCCTTGATGATTGGCAAATTGTATGA